ATTTATGATAATCAAGCGGCATCGGCCGTCTCTCTTGTTCGCTCGCAGCGTTCGCCAGCCGACAGCTTTCTTAAAACGAATTTCGATTTCCCAATAAGAGGCCAAGATTTACGGCCTCCCGTTTTGCCCGGCCACCTTTTTTGCGCCTTGTCACGTATCCTCCTCTCGCCGCGCGCCCGGGCCTTTTTTTCCCGGCCTCGCGAAGGAGGTGTACGCTTTCTTTTTTTTTTACTGCCCCTTCGTACCGTCCCACAAGCAGGGGGACGGCCTGACAGCGTCCCTCTCCTGCGCAAAATGGATTTTCGCACGTACCCAAGAGCTCGCTCACTCACGCACTCGTTCGCTCGCTCGCTCGCGGGGTTTCGTAGCCTCGCAACCGGCTCGTAATGCACGTGCGAACGTCAAAGTCAGGTAGACGTTGCCCGGGACCTCGTAAGGATGGAGAAGAATAGAACACCCGAATTTCGCTCCGCCATCGGCAACCGGCCTCGACACGGTGGAACGGGAACGCTCCCGTTCCATTTAAAGTAGAAATCGAGAACCACACAGTCAAAATAAAAATTATCCTGCAACTACACAAGATCAAATGGTAGACGGAACAATGATTGATCGGTCGTTTTGCAACTTGAGAAGTAATAATAGAAGTAATAATAATAATTTTATTGCATGCGCTTACAAATTAGATTTAAGCTATGTATACAATTCCAAAGACAATAATAATCAAACAAAGTGTTAGCAAATGACGAGGTGACAAGCGATACAGCTGATACAAGGTTTAACCAGAGAAATTCAAAGAACGGATAATACCGTTAAGTTAAGACAAACCCAACAGATTCATGTAAAATGAGACAAGATGTATTTGACTTGAAAAGCAGAGGAGAACACGGCGGTCATTATTTCCGTTTTTCTTTTTTAAAGTAATATTTATATCTTGTTTAAAAAATAAGATTCTTTTAATTTTTTTCACTTTTCAAGAATTATTTATATATTATGGCTTTTGTACTGATAAAATATTTGAGTTTTTATCATTTTTTTAAATAAAAAATTGACACTTTAATGTTGGAGTAATCAAGAACAAGAAAATGGATGTACGTTTCAGTCAATAATCATAGCGAGCACATTCGAGATTTTTAAATTCGATGTGACATAAAGAAAACAAGAAACGAGGGTGAGATTTAAAAGGAATAATCGGAACGATCGGACGTCAATCGACGTCGTTAATCACGATCGTTAATCGAAGTGAGACGAAGTCAAGAAGGAAATCGGACGGTTTCTTTTCGCGACGCAAAAATGGAGACGTTGCTCTCGTTAAGCACCCGGCGAGTTTGCGAGATGCGAAATACGGGTAGCACGAGCGAATGGAACCGGGAGGACATACATTTCTCGTCGTCGTGAGATGAAGGCGGAGGGAGGAGGGCAAAAAATCTCTCGCGAATTACGCAGGCCGCTTCACAGGCGAAAGAAATCATCGGGGGTAACGAGGTATCCACGTACAAGGCCCGTGTTTCCTTATACAGCGAAAAGGGGGAGAAAAAACGAAACGTTACGAAATTGCGGTGGTTAACCTTACTGCGTAGTTATGCAAGCAAGCGCGCAGGGGTCCAGGCTACGAAGTCGGTCACATGTTGCACATACACATACGCGGGATGCATTTGCGATTCGTTGCACCTTTGCGCGCCGCCATTCTCGATTAGACAAGTCGTGTTCGGCTGCTGCTCTTATCGATCAATTACTGCTAAAGAGGTTGCACGCCGCGAAAGATGTGTCACATTAGGGAAAGCATTAGCAATACCGATGCGTTGCTCGAGCTGAGTGATATCCAGAGATCCTGAAGTAAGGAAGAGATGAAACACCTCTATTTGATTGGTTCGCCATATTTTGCACCTTAAGATGGAACGAGAGATGCATTGATATCTCATTCTGTCTTACAGTGAACAATAAGTTTATTGAATCTTAATACATATTTCTTTGAATGATATTATAAGTAAACATTTATTTACAGTAAATAAATATGTATTCAATAAAAAAAAAGGCTAGTTAAATCAAATTAACGGTTTTTATATCAAATAAATGTATATTTATATTTAATAAATATTTAGAATTGTTCAAACAAATATTTATTAATATTTAATTTTCTCATTCTATCTTAAGTAGGTTTTTCAAAATATGGCACGGACTAAAAGACGTATGGCGAAAAATCTCTTGAGGATCTCTAAACGATATCGTTTGAGGAATCCAGGATTTCCTGACGGCGACCTGCAAAATTCTTATCGTTTCGTAAATTCTCGCGGCTCCGGAATTCTTGCGACGACGCTATGCGCGCGCGCGAGAATCCGAAATATTTAACGGTCCAGGATCCGTTCACGCGTGTAAAACCATCGGCCCTCGAAATATCGAAATATGTTTCCAACTTGGAAATTTTCAGTTTTACAACTCCTAACTTTCGCGCTTGCAGAGCTCGGGAAATTTTCGGAGCTCCAGAAATATCCAACTTTTCGGGCTCCGGAATTTTCAATATTGAGAAGTTCCAACTTTCGGCAAAACAAAATTACCTCTCTTTCATCAATCGCGGAATTGGTTACTACTACCGTAACACATACACACACACACACACACACACACACACACACACACATATACTCGTACACCCCGAAACTCTCCTGCGATCTGCATCGAGCGTTCTGCTGCAACACGCTCGCGCGACCGCGGCATCGGCCACAATATTGCGCCTGCCATAATCCCGGCGCAGTTTCTGACACGTCGCTTCCGCCTCTCTTTTTCTCCGCGATCGCCTGCAATTTGGACGTCACGGGGAAACGCCATGGTCGGAGGGAGATCGGCCAATTCGCCGGCGCGGCGCATTAAAGTCGTACGATATACGTACGCACACAGATACACACACACACATACACTCTCTGGTGCACATTTTGCTGTTGCAATTTTGGCAGACGCGATACCACGCCCGGCGCGATAAAAGCTCGCCGGAAGTGGAGAGAGAAAGGACGAGACTCAACGTGGAAAGGAAAGGACGGCTGTTATTCGAAACGACGACGACGATGACGACGACGACGACGACGACGACGATGACGACGACGACGGTTCCACCGTGAGAAATCAATTTCATCGACAAGACGTTCGCTTGCAAACACAACCCCCCGACTTTTAAACGTCTTGGCACGCGCACCAAACGCCAATACGATTCTTCTCGCTTCGTGCCACTCGTTAATGATAAAAGGAAAGACCGAGATGCAAAGAAAAATGTTGGTGCATGCAAGAAAAGACCTGTCGTGAGACCTAAGTGATCTCTAGACTCTCAATATTATTGTACAAATATTTTGTACGAAAATATAGAGAGATGCTCTTTTTAAATAATTCAAAATAAACAAGTATGGAATCAGTCACAGTTGTCACAAATTTCTCGCCCTAAAATTCCATAACTCTTCCCTGATTTCTGGACAAAATTTCATGAGTTTCTCTGATACTTTGAATAATATTGTGAATTTTGTTGTATTTCTGTCCTTTTTTGATAATCGTCAAATATTTTGAGAGCGCAATTTAACATAGCAATAAATTGCTGTTAATGTTCCTGACACTGTTTCCATTTAACTGTCAAGTTAGTAGTATTATATGTTTCTAAAATTGCATGGATGTGATGTATTAAACTTTTTAAAGCCAAGAATTTTAATTTTTCAGAAAATATTGTCAAATTGTGTGACACATTTCCCTGACATTTTCCTGATTTCCAGTTTTGTGACAACCCTGTCAACATAGCTTACAAACGATTAATAATATTGTGCAATAATATTGATCTTCTAGCTGTTTTGCAGAAATTTCGGAGTGCGATGCAAGGCACGTGAACGAGAAAGCCTCGAGTAAAATCGAATTTTGTCCAAATCCGTTCGCACGACAGTGCGCGGCATTCTTTATGGAAATGCATGGATTATGAAACGAAATCTATATTCTCTCCGCATATGTAATACTATCTGATCCTTCCTTCACATTTAGAATTGAGAACGAACGATCGTATTTCGAGTTAAATTCCTAATAGTTTTTCATATTTCAAACAAATGTATGCAGTTGGCCTGAGTATAATTAAATTGCAATTCAAAGAGGGATTCAATAGCAGTAATCGATTTAACAGGAATTTATATTTTATTTGACGAGATTTCCGAGATATTTTACAAGATATGCTATATATAGCAATTTTTGTAAAACAGTATTTTTTCGAAGGAACGTAATACATTGAAAGAACATAATACATTGTTCACATAGAGCAGACTTTTAGTCTAAGTAGAATTTAATTATTAATTATTCCGCCGAGTGCTCTTTGCGGTTGATCACGTAATCCTCCTCGTCAAACGTCTCTCACTTTTCTTCATGATAAAACCGCAGTTTGTGCGAAAAGCGGTTTTGCTGAAGTAAAAATCTAGTCAAAAACAGATTTAAAAACAACTTTATTGAATTATAAAGTTAATTATATTAGTTAATTATACACAAGCCGATTGCTAGAATATGTGAAAACTTTTTACAGCATTGCTCATTATGGTTGAATTTCTCACATCATTATTTTGATGCTCCAACAAAATTATTATTTAATTATTTAAGAAAAAATTATTTTCAGATTTATCTAGATTTTTACACGGAATCAACAATTTTGCTAAAGTATCTAATTTAATTAGATACGGATCTAAAAGTAATTATTAGATAATTAAAATAATTACATAGAACGTTTAAGCGATAACAGTGCTGCAAAAAGTTTAAAAATTCCAGCAATTTAAACGTCCTCCATAATTATTTTGATAATACAAGCAAAATTATTTTCAGATCCGTATAAACTTTTCGATACTTCAGCAAAACCGTTCTTTCCGTGTATAGATACGTATTTCAGCAAAACTCGTTCTTTCCATGAAAAGACCGCACTCGGACATTACGTGATCGATTCGCGGATCGCCGTCGTGACGCCGAAAGAAAAATGATGAATCGTAAACTCGCGCACTTACATGGAATTGGTGGTGTTCCAGTACATGCTGATCGTCTTGGCGCAGTTGCTCACAGTCGACAGTAGTACCGTTTGCAGGCACACGAGGAACACCAGGGTCACGAAGGACGTGGAAACCATGGTAACAATGACGGCGGACGACGGACTGGCACCGTCACTTAAGCACCCGTACTCGGTTAACAACCACCGGCACCAACCACGAACCGCGAGGCACAGCACCCGTTGCACTTTCGCCCGCGACCTCGTTGCAGTCGTCCACAACCACCTACTTCTTCCACCACTGTCGCACCTCCACCACATCCACACTCCACTTTGACTCGTATTCTTCCTCCCGCGATGATCCTGGCAACGTGGAGATCCACCTTGTCTCACCTTCCTCAGATGATTCTACCGTCGCTCACGCCGTCATCGTGAGTCCCAATTTATCCCGAAGTTATCTGGAGCGATGAGTCTCAATGGAATTGCCTTCGATGATTCTTGAAAGTTCAAAGGCGACTCACCGCGGATTTCACCTATCGGCAAATTCGTGATCTCCAAGTCTCTCAAAATTAAATCGATCACACTCGATCCGCGTCTCTCGGCGCACCGTTGTCGATGGTGTCCGAAGTAACGCCGGTCCCATGGAGCCAGCCCGTGTTTCTCTCGGGAGCACAGCTCGTCAGGCGGTTCATTGGTTCCAATTTTTTCGCCGAGATCACTCGGGGATGAACGACGCGACGCCAACGAACGCGAGACGGCGCGGCCTTTTCGGAGCAGCGAAGCTACCCGTCGGCTCGCCGTCGATCACACGATCCACTCAGCGATTGCACGCGACAGCGCTTTGCATGTTCGAATCCTCCGTAGGTTTTTTTCCTCGACCGACAGGAATGCGTGGAGCGTGCGTAAAATGAGTATTCCGTGACGACGCTAGATCAGCAGGTTCGTGGCTTGTACACTTTTTAAGCGCACCGTCTCGTACCTCCACATATCCGTCGAAGGAATCGCGCGAATAGACCGTCGATCCGCAGGTGCTCCGCGCGGATCCAAGTTAACACTAAGTTAAATCCTCACCACGCTCTGCACACACTGGAAGATCTCACCGAGATATAATATCCCTCTCGGGCACACAAACACTCGTCGAGTATCCTCGCGCTACTCAGGAGCGTCGGGAATCGAGCACTTCTCCAAGACCGAGTCGCACTTCTTGACTATTCCCACGAAACACTCGGACGAAGATTTCCAAACGACGGAAATCCGTCCAATTGCGATTCGTATCGTCTCGAAATCGCGCGCGCACACAAAACAAAAAAAAAACAAAAACGAGGAATCCGCGATACAGCGGGTCGCTGCGACCCGAGCGAGTCAGTTGGAATATACACGCGCGCGAACGCGGTCGAGAGAGAGTGATACCTCTCGGCGAGACTCCGGCTTGGCGAACTGAGCGTAACGATAACCACTCTGCTCGGTGTCGCGAACGCGTCTGTTCGGCCGAGCATTCGTTTCGCGTCGGCAGACTCGGCTGGCGGCAGCCGGAGAGTGGGGGTCGTGCCGAAGGTCGGCGGAGCAGCTCGAAATCGCCCGAAGTCGTACGAAGTCGCGCAGCCCCGTGTGCCTCCTGCGACTCCACGAACTCGGAGCTCCGCGATCTTCACGGGACTACACGATCGGCATTACGCCGCACGCTCGCGAGAAGTTGACTTAGAATCGTTCTCCCCCTCATCGTCGTGTAAAAGTACGTTCGACTCGCTGCAGTAGACGAGACGTTGCGGTTACACAGTGTGACACACAAAGGTTTTTTTTCTCTTATTTTGTAGTTAGGGACTGTCTCCGATTCCACTCGGAGACGCGGAATAAAAGTGCAATTTTGCGAGTATTGCGTTTAACAGCGAAGCCGATTGGACGCATTAGTGTATATTAAAGCTGTTGTAAACTGATTGAATCGGAGTGTAAAAGTGATATGCAAATATGTTGAATTATAAAACACGTATTTTAATTACAATTTAAAATAATTGAGAATAAATTTAATTAAATGAGAAAAATCTTATCAAAAAAAAAGCGAATCTTAATAGTTAAATATTTCTAACATATATTTTACCTACACGGAAAGAATGGTTTTTGCTAAAGTATCTGAAAATGTAGCTAGACACAGATCTGAAAATAATTTTGTTGGAATATTAAAATAATTATGTAGGCGAAATAATTATATTATGTCGCTCGAGCTGGTTGCTAGAATATAAAAACTTTACAGAATTGTTCATTATGCTCATTATAATTATTTAATATAATTATTTTGATAGTCTCGGCAAAATTATTTTCAGATCCGTATCTAGCTAAATTTACACGGAAAGAACGATTTTGTTGAAGGATCTAAAAATTTAATTAAGTGTAGATCTATATATATCTATTATTAAACTATTAAAATAATTATGTAGAATGCTCGAGTTCAAATTATCTCATTATACTTGAACATTTTATTTATGATATAAATATTTTAAAAATTCAACAAAATTATTTTCAGATCTGTCTAGATAAATGTCTAGATAAACTTAGATAGGTATTTTAGTAAAATCATTCTTTTCGTATAGATACTCCAACAAAATCGTACTTCCTATGTAACAACATAATAAAGTTTATTGGAAATTTCGCGGTTTAATCCATTTCCATATTTATAAACACACATCTTTACATCGATTTGTATATAACGGTTTTAATGTGCGCTGAGCACGTCCAACCAAATTCGCTATCATTTATAAAAAATATGAAATGATATCTCTGCGGTGACAATAATGCGATTAAAAATTTCTATAGAAATTACATTGAAAAAAAAGTTTCCTAAATCTAAGTAATTTATTTTTTGAATAGTTTACTTGGAACTATTCAAGAAATAAATTACTTACTTTTTTTTCAGTGTAAAATAATTCTTATTATCTTTTCAAAAAAAAGAAGAGAGAGAGAGAGAGAGAGAGAGAGAGAATGAATATCACGTGTTGTATAACACACTCAAATATGTCACATACATTTTCTTGCCTTTTCTTCTCAGCTGCAGGATAACATTATAGATGTCTCTATTTCAAAACATCGACTTTCTCTTCAAAACAGTATTCAAAGTATAATTCGAAAAACTCCATGGGGTTTCTGCGGATTTCTCGCAACTCAAAGAGTTTTGCTTCAATATTTTTGTTCAGCTTATTGCTTTATCCAGACACGCGACTGACACAAAGCAGATCAAACAAACTCCACCGTCACGCCATGGAGTTCCGCTATTTCGGCTCCGGCGACTGCCGTGCGAGCTCAAACGTCGCTCCGGCCGATGATCTCCGAGGAGGAGAAATGAGAGGAGAGGGCAGTTTGACACTCATTAAGAAAAGCAACCATCGTGATGAAGCCGCCCCGCGCTTGAACGGCTCTCGTAA